AGTGGGTATGGTCGTATGTGCCTTTATTGTTTTGATTTGTGTCTTATGAAGTCATCTTCATACTTTCCATATGTTACGAAAAATGGTGTCCGATAATGCACTGGAGAGTACTATCACCACTGCAGTTCACCATTGGCAATTATTGTCATGATCCTTGCTCCAAATGTGTATTGTCTCTTCAAATCTTTTCGTATACTGTCCCGTCAACGCCTGATCGCTTGTGTGCGATCTCTGTCTTCGCCTCCTCCATATCGCCCGCCTCCTTGTCTACCTCTGTCGAAACTGACGAGTATATGGCCGCCTCCATTTGCATATCATGCCCACGATATAAGCAGTGAAGCTTCTATGAGGGCTTCTTTGCAGAAAGCGACATTTAGAGCAGAAAAAAGCAATCCCCATATATCTGACTGCGTTCCGTACCGACCGGTATTGCTTGCTAGTTGTTTCTGTGGCTCCATGACTACCAGACGGAGTACCAGAAGTGGTCGGACCTCGAGTCATGGAATAATCTTGAATCCGAGCCTGAGGAATGGCTAAATCCCCAGCTGCCTCCTCTTGAACTTCTTGAAGATTACGATTTCGAGGCCTCCTACGATAGCGAGGAAGTCGTTGTCGCCAAGTGGAAATTGCCCCAAATGAAAACTTGACTTTTACACTACAGCCCATGTACAAGGTCTCCATTAAGAGACAAGAGAACCGAAACGCCCGAAGCCACAGCTTCCAACGGGGACGGTGGGTGTCCCAAGCTCTCGCACTTCGCCGCTTGTCAGAAATAGCACCTATATTGAGCCACAACATCCAAATTCAATCTACAACGGCAGTTCAATGTTGCAATAATCCCTTCACGAACGTCTTACTCGTCGGGCTCTTGCAGCGCATTACCGCCGGCGACTGTCCCTTGCTCTCAGGCTGGCTCTGGTTCCGATACGTCACATGTTGTTCTGTTTGTGCTCCATCCACTGCTTAAGACCGATCGCTGATTCTATGAGATCGAGTCTCCGGGTTGCTCCTACTGTTGGACCTAATGACTCGCGCGTATTGTGCGAGGTGTGGTGTGAAGTGGAAAGTGCCCCTGTCCGAACGTGGATCGTCGACCAGGTACCAACGCTCACGGGGACACTTGCCGGCCACTTAATTGACACTCGTCAGAACAACGAATTGTGCTCCTCAGAGGGTACATAACTCTGAACTAATTACAATGTCAATTGAACGCAGAATTCTTGATCAACACAGTTTTCCTTACAAGATACACACAACTCCTTCCCGTTGTTCACATACATTAGCCAGCATGTAGGACTGGCTGTCTCGCTGCCTGTCGCCTCCTCCTGACGTAAATCCAATCAGCGCTTCTTCAATCAGAAAGTAGGCCTTCCGTAAGAATCATAATCCGTCGCGGGATTATACGCATCCTTTTCTACCACCTCCAACACCCGGGCCAACGTCTTGAACACCTCACCCCCGCGCGACGACAGGCTTACCAGCTCCTTTACTCTCTCTACCCAATCCGAACCACCCCATGCGTCCTCGCGCGCCGTCATCCGCTTGATTTCGTGTTTCTTATGATCAAACTTGCCATCGATCAACATGAACATCTTGCCATCTAGTCCTAGCCTACCCAGGTGGCCGTTGCCGGAAAACTCCTCCGGAATGATATTACCAGAATTGACTGAATATATCAACAAGCGACGCAGGATTCTCTGCATAGTCCGAGCCGCACTAATTTTGGATTCCAGTTTCGACTCGTTATCGACTTGCTGGTGGATAGAGTCAAAAATCCGATCGATTGTGGTGCAGGCTTGTCTCATGTGGGTCCTTGTTGATTCAGAAGGGTCCAGATCTCGCGGGAGGGAAGAAAGCAAGCCTTCGACCCTTTGGTAGTAATTGTCAAAGTTGATGATGCGACTGTTACGCCGCAGGCGAGCCCATGCTGCGTCGTACTTTTGCTGGAGCAGTTTGCCAATGGTGGACGGATCGCGAGCGGCGGCAAGAGCGAGGATCGCGGTTTGGTCGCAGAGGGCGATCATGGGGTTGTAGTTTGGGCCGCTGCTTGTGACCAGGAGGCGGTGGTAATGGTGTCGGGAGGTTGATGGTGATTTCTGGTGGGTGGAAGAGGAAAGGGAAGGGGAAGCGTGTGCTTCTTCTCCTCCATCATCATCATCATCATCTTCTTCTTCTTCTTCTTCGTCCTCTTGGGTGTTGGCTGAATCTGAGTCTTTGAATGAGTGTGAGTCTTCAAGGTCGCTATCGATGCGAGATCGTTTCTTGGGGGGATGACTGTGGTATGAGCTCTGGGCCTTGATATTGGCCATATTCTCTGATTCTGATACGAGTAACCAACAGCTCGTTTGACAGGATAAGTAAAGTTGACGTGAAAGGAGTGGGTGTTTGAACAAAAGATAAAAAGATGATTAGAATAGGAACTTGGAACAAATATGTCAGCACGTTTAAACCCTTCCTTTACACCTGTAACTATGCGCTAACCCTCCACTTCATGATTAGATCATGATTACGGTGTCATACGCATGGAGTACGTCGTTGATATGGAAGTATCCGATGATACCTAGCTGAAGCAAAACCCCTTGTCCTTAGGAACCAAAACAAAAACGACAATTAAATGCACAGTGTTATATAGGCATGCGCCACATTACTCTTTCTAATACTTCTGCATTTAGTAAGCGCAGTTTGGCATTGCTTCCTATATTTTGTTAGCACCCTTTACATATAGCACGAATATGTTTTGGAACCGAATCATACTTCATTGTGGAAACCCTCATTCCAACCTACCGTAGAATCTCAAGGATCCTTACTGATCAGTCCTATCTGTATTCATGCCAATGCTAATTCTTGTCATGGCAATCCACTTTTAGCTCATTTTACCTTTCATCTAGTGCGTATGTTAAGAACGCGCTGCCAGGGCTGGCAAAGGGACAACGGTTGAGGTATCTCCAGATGGAGCGTTCACGCAGGGGAGTGAGGCTACACGTAGGGGTGGAACGAAAGGTGCATTCATCGCGAGCTCGTCCTCTGGGAGCAGGAGGCTCTGGCAGCTGAAGTCTTTCTTTTACATATCGAAGTTCATTCCATCATGACCCTCCCCCGCAAGATCTTCGAGTACTTCTGATGCCACAAGGCGGTGCTGCGCCGCTTCCATACCGGGGCCTCTCAGCCTGACCGCCGAGCCCGTAGCGCCATGATTCCGTGCGCCTGACGTGCGCCTGCTACGCTCCTTGCGATAGCGGGTGCTCGCTACGATGTACTTTCGTTGGAGCAGACCGCCAATAGTGCCATCACGGGCGGCAGCGAGAGCGAGGAGGGCGTCTCGATCGCTGACGGAGATCAGGGGTTTATCGGTTGAATCGTAGCGCTCGGAGAGAAGAGAGATATAGTGATCTTTGACGGCTAGAATTGATTCCTCATCGGTAGATCGAGAAGGAGAAGAGGAACAGTCTTCTTCCTCTTCGGCTTCGTCTGATCCTCCATATTTCAACCCATCCTTCATCTGGTCTGTATTTTTGACAAGGAGGCTCAAGGCCTCAGCAGATTTGGCGGCCGAGTTGGCAATGGCCTCGAAAGCCTCGACTTTACGAATGCTGGTACTCCTTTTCCTCGGCGGTCTCGGTGTGCGGGCTATTGCGGGGGAGTGTGGTGAACAGAGATTGGCCCGCAGAGGATGAGCCAAGAGTAGCAGAGAGAGGGGGTTGTACATTGACTTTGTTGTGTGCTCTGATCTCCCTGATAATGTTATGGAGTTCTTCCATAAATTCCTTGGTACGGCTATCGTCCTCCCTCTCGGTACGGTTCTGGTCCCACCAAGCTTTGAGCTTCGACTGGATATGCAAGGGAACCTATGCGAGTCAACAGCTATATAGCTGCGGTGAAAGCTCTTTAACTTACAGGAACGCATGTCTTCTGATGATTACTCTTTGCGCATTGCCAACAGGCAACGCCAAGTCCACCTTGGTTGTAGCATTTCTGGCCGGGTGTAGTGGAAGCCCTGGTGACGCATGGGCCGCAAGGCATATGCCTCTCGTTGCCTTGCTCGGGGCCTTTCTTTCTAGTAGAAGAAGCCTCCGAGACGACCTCAGCGGTCTCGGTTAAATCTTCAGCTGGGGATGAATTATCAAGATAGCTGTCGATGCGTGCTCGTTTCCTCGGGGGACAACCGCGACGTGAGCTCTGGGTGTTGACACCGGCCATTGTGGGTGGAACTGATCTGATGAACGTACGTTGAAAGGTAGAACATCAAAAGGATGGAAGATGTCAGGCAGCTTTTTTCTTTTTTTTTCTTTCTTTTTTTTCGGTGACAGCTTCCTGCGTCTGGCAAGTTATGGCCTAAGACCCCCTGCCATGCTTATATCACAGTTACGGCATCACCACCTACGCATGAAGCAAGCGTTAGGTGCTAGCATTGGCGACCCATTTCCCAACTTTCTATTCAACGCACAAAAGCAGAAAGAAGCAATCTGATGCAGGACCTCTTGCGCCGTGCAGCAGGCACGAACGCTGCGTAGTTGTCAGTCATCTGTATGTTCACTAGAGCCGTCCGTCTCTCTTTAGTACGGTCCAGCTTGACGCTCTCTTTCCGAGAAACCCATCTAGACCATCACCATCGATTCCAACGTCGACTACCCGACACGTCACACCAAGTCAAATGGGCATGGGCCATAACGTCCTTTCTGACTTCTCGTTACTACGCCACCCCATCCTCTACTACCCGCCTGGGTAGAGATATCCAATAGACAACGTTTGTATAAATCGCCTCAAGGCACCATTAAACAATCGACCCACTTGCCCAATCAGTCAAGGGGTGGTCTACTTGCCGCTCACCATTTATCTACTCACATCCATACATAGCATCAGTCCAGCACCTCACCTGACAACAAATCAGTGCGTCTTCATAAGTACTAGCTGTATCAAAAACGGATACATACGACCATACCCACTGGAAAACTCGGGATCCCGTCCGCTCTCCCATAGATAAGCCAGTGAGGGCCAGACTAGTAGTTGGGTCGGTGACGACCAGCGAATCCCTGGTGTTGTATGTTTTTTCCCCTTCTTTTTGGTTCATCCTCAGGATATCACTGCGCCTTTCACATGACATGAGCACCGGTTCGATGACCTAGTTCAAGGTCCTTAAGCAGCCGAGTCTCTGATCTTTGGAACACAATCTACGAAAGGAATGCACGACCGTGCTTTGTTCAAACGTGATGTGATCATGAGAGGTACATAGGCATGTATGCAGCGAATAACAACAGCGGTTACCCTTTCTGCTACTACTCTCCAATCTGATGATCTTCCTCATCGCACATCTCTTGTCTCTGCTTCCCCTTCTTTACTAAACAAAAGCTCCAACTCCAAATGTGATGAATGAGATGTCAACAATGTTAACAATGTTGACGATGCCTGTTGCCTGTCCCCTCTTTGCCCGCCCGTGCCCCAATCCCGTAGGTGAATTGTACCCCTGTTTTTACAATGACAAAGTCAAGACAGTTGAAATGATGGAAAAACAAAATCAACAAGGCATCCTGTATACCTACCAGCCTCGGATGGATTACTTTCAACAGAAAGCCGATCACTCCTTCCCCAGCATCAACTTCAGAGACTGTACAGCCAGCTCCACGATCTCCCTCCTCTTTGATCTGGTAACCACCGTCTTCACAATCTCCACCGCGTTTTTGCTCAGGAACTTCTCTCTTGCCACCTTGCCTGCCTGGCCCTCGCATGCCACCATATTCAGCAAGACAAAGACACCGCGGTGCCTCAGGTCCTCGTTATCATCTTCACATAGACCGAGAATGATCTCCGGTCCGCGTTCGCGCTCCGCAATAGCCTTTACCACGCTCTCATACCCCGTCAAGGCAGCCAAGGCACCACCGGCAGCACTGCGCGTAGCAGCGTCTTCAGCGTCTGCTAGAGCTACAAGGATCTTCAGCCTGGTCTGCGCCTGCGGTTTGCTGGTATCGGCAAAGAGCGCCTCGGCTTGTTCGGGGGATTGGACGATGTTGCAAACGAGCTCGACAGCTGCAGTGGTAATGCGAGGGTTGTTGTATAGGAGAAGCTCCTCAATGTCCTTCCAGGCCACGCGGACAATGGTGCGGCGAGTGTCGTCGTCAACAGCAGCGAGATTGGTGAGTGCCATCAGGGACTCAAACGTCGGGAGGAGATCGCGTGTGTCGACGGTTTGGTCGGGGAGCAGGATGTGAACAAGGGGACGGATGGCGGTGTTGATGGGGGTGGAGCCCCCGAAAACGAGCATCGGGTTCGTTGAGATGAGGATACGGGCGAGGGCCTGGGCGGCGGTTCGTCGGACTGTCATGTTCTTTGGGTCACCTTCGGGCAGGTTGGTCCAGGCACCGATCAACAGACGGACGGCGCCTTGTTGAGCAAGCGGTCCCCGCATAGAGGGAGTCATGGAGAGCGAGTTGAGAATCGAGATGATGAGGGTGAGGGAGGCTACGGAGCTGGTCTTGCTGATCGTCACGAGAACGGGGGTGAGGCCGGCTTCGAAGACACGTTTACAGCGTGCGCTGACATGTTCGTTGTCGTTCAGGGGGTCGGGTTGAAGCTTGCCTACTGCATCCGCGTAGGCCTTGAGTTGACTTATGCGCTTTTGTTCGTCTGTAAGGGCGGGACGGTATTGGGTAAGGTTAAGGAAAATGCTGAGTGCGCCGTACATGAGAGGGGACCTGGGCGGCGCCGACTCGAGTGTTTTTACGAGTGATTTGAGAAATTGGGGATCACCGGCTAGATCCTCCTTAACCTTGGCGCGAATCGATGCATAGGCGAGTCCTTCGACCGAGGATTGGCTGGAATGTTCGGGGTCCTTGATGAGCATCTGGGTAAACTTTTTGGAGAGATCTTCTACGCTGGTTGTCGCCGGCTGTATCCGGGGCTGGGATGGGTCGGACAAGTCTGGAGGTGCCTGGTCGGGTTGAACAGCCTTGAGCTGATGTCAGCCGCAGGGACATCAGAAGGAGGGAGCGCCAACCTCGGAGGTCGGTGAAGGAGGCAGTTGGAGGCTCACCCTGAGCTTGGTTAAAACCACGGCGGCCAGGTTCTGGACATGGATCGAGTGCCTCCTCATGGAAACGGAACCTTCCTGGGTGGCGGTGTCGGGATCGGTGGTGTACATGGACTCGACAACCTGCTCGGTATCCTGGTCCACAATCTCCTCTAGCCAGTCGATGCAGTACTTCTGGACAGCTTCACGGCAGTGAGAGTGCATGCAAGCAGCGTTGAGCATTTCGAGGCAGGCTGTCTCGACCTTGCGGCTCTTCCACTTGCGCCTCATAAGCGGGCCTAGACTGGGGAGGAAGCCTTCGCTGAGGAAAAGCTCGGACGTGAGATCGGGGACGATGGGGAAGATGGTAGCTGCCACGCAAAACGCCACAATATAGTCGTCGTAAGTGCCGCGTTGGATCCGGTCGAGGAAGAAGGCGGAGAGCTTCTTGCTGCCGTCCTCGCCAGCGGCCTTGAGGTAAGCAGAGGTGCAGAGAGCAGCATGGCCGCGAACAACATCGGTCTGTCTCATATCCAGATAACACAATATGGTATCGACGCAGTCACTGTCTATGACGGCGGTTATGGATTTCTCTCCCTTCTTTGTGGCTTCGACATCGTCGTTGAGCAGCTTGGTTAGCTTGCCCAAACTTTCGACCGTCTCATCGTCTTCCTTGCCGCCCTCCATCAGGTGGGCAAACAGGAGCAGTGTCTGATCTTCCCTTCCCAGGTCATTATGCATCGCACGTGTATGGGCATTCGGCGCCGTGGTGGAAACGGAGGCCATCGTGGTGTGATTGACCTTGGTCGTTGATGTGGGATCTTTGTTGAAGAAACTGTTGGTAGAAGCAGTGCTAAAGGAGGGTTCGATGATTTTGCAACCAGGGGGAGCTAAGGTCGCAGGTGAGGGGCACGCCGTGAGTATGAAGTGATCCTGATGTAGAGCGCACGTCCGCAGGTCTCGAGATAAGCGCGGTCGGTCGTACAGGCAGGTGCAGTCACACACGACTGGAGGTTGACGTTCGGGTTGTCGTGCGGGCGCGGGGTGGTACAGCGGGTGGTATAATGTTTATCGATAAGTCGATCAAGGTAGTCGTAACGACATAAGGCAAGCAGGGTAGGCAGGCAGTCGAGGAAACGAGGAGGAGGGGTATGGGGTCTCGAAGGTTAATGAACTCGTGGAGGGGAGAAATAAGGTGGAAACGCGATGGGACGGGAAATGGTGGGCCTCCTTTTATCTGCCAGGACCTTGTCTCGGCGCAGAAGAAAAGGGACACTGTATGTAAGATTCGCGAAGGTGAAGATTGCTGTCAGGATGCGAAGAAGGGATGGAGTATGTTAGGTTGTTTTGAGGTTCTGGAGGAAGAGGCAGAGTTAGCGAAATGGAAAGATAAGTGATAAATTTGGATGTCAGTCGACGGCGTGTGGTCGGAGTCTTGGCTGTGCCACTTTCCTTCTTTTGGGGGGACTAAAGAGGGGACTGGGGGGTACGTACCCAGCTGAGACCCCACCGTTGGCGGTCCTGTATCCTGTAGGTACAGTATCTGTAGTGGTCCTGTAAAGATTGGGCCCTGGTCGCTGTAGCCGCACTCTTTCCTCAGTCTTCCATGCACCAAGGGAAGTGGAACCGCAAGCTTTTTGGCCGTTGCTTTCAAACGGGTGTATCTGCTGAGGTGTGTTTAAAATCACGCCTTTTAAGCCTGTCATCAGACAGATCCAGTCCTACTGTTCACTTGATTTGTAGTGACCGCAACAGACCCTAATAAAGGCGGGTAATAGATGAAGTTACACTACCTGGCATATCCCGTGCCAAGTGGAAGTTCTGAACTTGGAGAAATGCCAGATAGAGGGGAACAGTGAATGGCAGGACGGCAGGAGGGTGGTACGGACTACCGTGCTAACCATCGGGAATCCTGTCGAACGGTCTCTGCCGTGCGTATGGATAGGTACCTCTACACACACCATTTTAAGTTGGAAACATCTGCACCTTCCTGCGCCAGTGCCAAGCTTCTGCGAATTGCATGAGAAACAATGCAATCAGCGGCTGGGCTGCTTTGTTCCCCCCTCACCAACCTCGAAGCCCCCATCATCCGTCCTTCGCCACTCCATCCCGCGCTACTGCGTAGTATTTTGGGGGCTAGCCACCCCACCATGTGAGAGAGCACCTCAGGAACTTCCAGGCTTCGGGTCATCCCCAAACCTCATGACACCACCAAGACACCGAGACCAAAGAGATGACCGGATATCCTTGTCTCGCGCATCTCATCTAGAAACGACACCAACCGAAACCTCCCAGCGGGCGCACGTGTAGCTAAGGCTCAGCGGTGATCCCTTCAGCGCTTCAGCTCACAATCTCTTGACTGCCGAGATTAGCGGTTCACTTCTGACGACGCAGAGCCCTTGTGATTGACATTGATCAAGTCTAGATATTCCTAGATTGAGTAAATAATCAGTCCCGCCCTCCCTCACAACTTGTAACACTTTAGCGCAAAGCCATACCTCGCTTCCATCTGAAACTCGAGAGTTGATCAAGTTGAGAGGGACTAGCCGGGGGGGGGG